TTATCGTTTACATCATTATCTGGGATATTTTTTATTATCTTTTCACGCCGACGCCTTATTCTTAAATAGTAAACCCAACCATCTTCATTTGACCCTATGGAATATTGGTGGAAGAGCTCGGCTAAACCGAGGTTAAGGCCAGCCCGGCGATTTAGCTCGGCGATGCCATTTATTATACGGTATGAATTTGTAGAAAGTTGGGTAGGGCAGAGGTTGGCTTGTCTAAGGAACTCGCAAAAAAGAGGTTGTACAGGGAATCTTAGTCCGGTTTCTACAATGGAAAAACGGGTAAATGGAACAAAGCCAAGGTTTTCCCAGGGTATGGTATCTAGTTCGGCCAAGGTAAGATGGACATCATCAGGGATATGGTAGTCCCTTCGGAACTCGGCCATAGCCCCAGGTGTGTTTACTAAAAACCTATATTTACCCATGTGGATTTAAGTTAAGTATAAATTAACGAAATACTAGCTCAATGCTGAGATAACGTTCGTTATCTCGGTTGGACGTTCAAATGAGTGCCTGGGCAACCTAGTCAGAGTCTGCAAGGTGAAAAAGAAAGGTGTTAAGCACAGATCATTGGACCGTCCTAAAAGAAACAAAGGTAAGTTAAATAAAGTCCTAGCTCGGCTACGTGGGGTACTATCCATTCTTAGCTCGGTTTGAGCAATTGTCTTTAGCCCGGTTGAGGATTTGTGGCAGCATTCTTAGTTCGGTTTTGACTAAGAGAGCTGGTTTAGCCCCAAGTTGTAGCTCGATCAATGGTGAAGGCTTTCTAGTGCGGCATTGCGCAAACCTAGTACGGTTCGCTAGCTCGGCTAAGATGAGCAAAAGGTACTAAGACTTATTGAAACTACAAGTATGGTGTGAAGTTTTAGTTCGGTTGTTTAGCTTGGCTAAACTTGTACTTAATATAAACAGAATCCTAGTTCGGTTAAAGTGTGATTTTGGATCAAAGGGAAGATTTTTCAGATTGTTCGTAAGTACAATAGTTCTATTACGTGAGTTTTTTTCAGAAAAATGGAAGCAAAAGTGGAATAGGTATTTTGAAAATCATACAAAAACGCATGTTGTGTATTATAAAACAAATGTGAAATCAACAAAGAGGAAATAAGATTGGGTTACTTACAAGTTTGAAGACGAGTTGATAAAGATCAAAGCCACGAGAGAAAGCTCTTTATAGGCACTGTGTTTGGGAAGAATGGAAGCTCGAGCAAGAGAGAAGAAGATGAATAGTAGAAGTGATTGATTCAAAGCAAGGAACTTAGTTTTGTGTAAAGAGAATGTGAAAATTGGGCGGGACTGTTCAAATCTCGAGAAATACGAAGACGGCGTGACAGCTATACTTGACGAATAGAAGCTAGCCACGTGTCCAGGGAATAGAAAGCGATTCAGTTACAGTTGTTGAAAAGACGTTTTGACTGGACAGATTAGTAGCTCGGTGTAAATGTAGCTCGGTATGAATTGAGCTCGGATGAAGGCTGCTGTTTAGCTCGGTTTAGAAAACAAAGTTGTTAGCTCGGCTGGAAACGGGTAATCCCGATCATGCTACGTAGATGGAATTAAGGGGCAATTGAGAGGGTAATTTATGAGTAAATTAGGCTTAGAGCTGGGTAATGGGCTATTCTATGGGCCATAGTAAGAAGGGCTTAGTAAGTGGACCATAGTCCAGGTATTAGCTCGGTCCAGGTATGGAAGGGACCTAGCAAGTGTTAGCTCGGTCCAAGAATAATCACGGTCACTACAGTCGGAGTGGAGATAGTTAGCCTGGTCAAGGTATTCGGAGCCGAGGTATGATACTTTCACGTGATAGACCTCGCTCTGGTTGGCGCGGTGGTAGCTTGCTGAGGTTAGTTCGGTCTTAATGGGCACAACCGAGGTACCAACAGATAAAGGAAGGGACAAGCTAAGGCATAGCTCAGTCTAAGTTGTCATTTCAGCATGACAATTCTAGCTCGGTCGTTTGGTCGTACCACCGAGCTAGGACCATCTCACTCGGTTTAAGCAGTGAGGGGGGTGTTGAAGGATAAGCATTATCTTTCAGGAGTATGATTTCTAGAAGAACTCTGCATGGAGGAATAAGAGTCCTACTAGGATTGTGCCACGCAGAACCTATAAAAACTCATAACATCACCTATGGAGAGGTAACACAACTTTGATTCTCGAATACACAGAGCTTTTGTCTATTTGTCTATTTTGCTGACTTAGGCATCGGAGAGGTATCCGGCACACACCTGCCGGCTAGCTCACGTTTGTGTTTTCAAGGAATGAAGCGACGACGTTTGGAGGAGTACAGACTTGATCAACAGGATTATAGGAAAAGAATATTTCTTGCTCGTACAGTACTAAAGGGTCAATTCAACCCCGAAAATTGTGTAAATTTTGTTTGATTAAAATATTATGTATATTAATTTTTTAATATTTTTAATTTGTGAATAGTGATAACTTTTTTGTTTTTTTTGTAACTTTTTGACTTTTTTGCAACACCCCAAACGAGGCCTTAATATCGAAATCCATTTAATCCATGATGCACATATCGGCGTACATAAATTAACAAATTTAAATTTTATGACTTGTATTTCCAACTTTAAAATTTAAAATTTATGGGTGAGATTTTGGGAAGTGGGGATGCTGCTGCGCGGGTTGCGTAGCAGCGGTGGCTGCTGTGCGGTGAAATAAGCTCATTTAGAGACTCATTTTGATAATTTGAACTGTTCACATTTTAAAATAATATCAAGTAGAATATACTTGTAAAAAATCAAGTTAATCGGATATTATTTATCTATTCATTCATTCACATTTGTATTCATTTTAATACTTTAAATCATAATTATTATTTATTTTTGTAGATACAAATGTGAGTGGATGAATGAGTAAACGATATCCAATTAACTTGATTTTTTGCAGACATGTTCTACTTGATGTATTTTAAAATGTGAACGGTTCGGATTATCAAAATGGACCCTGAAATGGGCCCATTTTGCCACACAGCAGCATCTCCACTTCCGAGATTTTGTTTGGGTAAAACACCAATAAATCCCAAAATGTGATCTTGTAAACTGTTTTGTCCTTCATTTTTTCTTATGAACTCAAAGGTCCTATTAAAGTAAAAATTACATAAAAAGGTAGTCACTTACATGTTTGCATTTAATTTTTTTTTTGGGATAAAAATAGATTTCTCAAAATGTAAAATTACACATTTGGATAATTTGCAATATAAAAGTTTTGGATTTTTCCTCATTTTAGAACGAACAAAAACCTAACACTCAATGTACACTCCAATAACGTAACACTTCAATGTAACACACTAAAAAATTCATTGGTGTACTTTTTCAAAACATAACGCTCCAATGTAACATAAAAAAAAAAATATCCTTAGCGTACTTTTTTCAAACATAACGCTCCAATCAGTGTAATTTCAAACGTAATACTCCCATGTAGCATACTTCAATGTAACACACAAAAACACTAAAAAAAAATTTCTTAGTATACTTTATCCAAACATAACACTCACAGTTTAAAATTATATATTTGCCAAAAACTTACTAAGGAACATTTATATTCCTTTTGGAATAGTTTGAAGAATCTCACATTTTTTCTTTTTTAATGTTACATTGGAGTGTTACTTTTAAGAAAAATACAATAAGAAGTTTTTTTTATTTATTTTTACATTGAAGTGTTACGTTTGGAAAAAGTACACCAAAGAGTTTTTTTTTTTTATGTTACATTAAAGTGTTACACTAAAGAATTTTTTTAGAGTGTTATATTGAAATGTTACGTTTGGAAAAAAAGTACACTAAGGAGGTTTTTTTATGTGTTATACTAGAATGTTACACTAAGGAGTTTTTGTGTGTTACATTAGAGTGTTATATTAAGAAACTTTTTTAGAGTATTATATTAAAGTGTTACATTTAGAAAAAGTACACGAAGAAGTTTTTTTTTTTTTTTTTGTGTTACATTCGAGTGTTACACTAAGGAGTTTTTGTATGTATTACATTAGAGTGTTACACTAAAGAGTTTTTTTGGAGTGTTATATTAAAGTGTTACGTTTGGAAAAAAAATACACTACGGAATTTTTTTGTGTGTTATATTAAAGTGCTACAATAAATTTTTTTTTTTGATGTTACATTAGAGTGTTGCATTAAAGAATTTTTTTTAGTGTTATATTAGAATGTTATGTTTTTTTGAAGTGGTATTGATAATGTAGATGCTTAGGATGTTTAATGGAAGCCTTCGGAAATGTGTTTTGTTTGAGTGGAGGTTTGTTATGTTGGTGGTGAAAAATTTTGTCGACTTTTGTGCAGGATTTGATTGCGATTGTTCACGTAAATGTTAGGACGCGTGACTTCCATGTTAGTAAAAATTAACCAATTTCAATGGAAGCAATGACGCTATTACCACTACAACAAAATACACCTTTGGAGACTAAAACAAATTTAGTTGTCAAAAGTTTTAGAATTGGCGACTAAAACTTTTTTTTGATCGCCAAAAGTATAATATTTAGCTACTAAATTTTTTTAGTCGGAATATATTGATTCTTGGCGACTAAAAAATAATTTAGTCGCTAAAAATACTAGAATTAGCGACAAAAAAAATTTTAGTCACTGTATATTGAGATTTGGCTACTAAAATATTTAGTTGCCAAATGTATAATTAAAAATTTATTTTTTATCTTTTTAGTCGCCAAAAACATATTTTTAGCGACAGAAAAATATTTTAGTTGCGATATAGTGAGTTTTGACTACAAAAATCATTTAGTCGCTGAATGAAAAATAAAAAATTATTTTTTATCTTTTGGCGACCAAAAGTTTGGTCGCCAAAAACATACTTTCAGCGACAAAAAAAAAATTTAATCGCCAAAAAGCTAAAATATTTGGAGGGAAACCTTTCAAATTCTGGAGGGTTAAATAAAATAAATAATTGGCGACTAAAAGTTTTAGTCGCTAATGGTGTAATATATATATATATATATTTGGTTTCCAAACCAAACAAACCAGCGCCTCTCTCTCTGTCTCTGTCTCTCTCTCTCTCTCTAGCGTCCGTCTCCCTCTCCGGTGCCTATTCTGGTGCTCTCGGCTGCTGCTGCTGTGGCCGCGACCTTCTTCTTTGTCCTCTCTCTCTCTCTCTCTCTCTCTCTCTCTGTCTCTCTCTCCTCCTCCTCCTCCTCCTCCTCCTCCTTGTTCTTGCCCCTCTCACGCGGCCTTAACCACCGCCGGAGCCGTCGTGTCTGGAGGAGAAATGATCTCGCTGACAGCAGAGGATGTAAGATGGGTGAACGATTAGATCGAGTCCAAAACATAATATGCACGACAATGTCCTCCATAAGGGCATTAACCTTCGCTCTCGCGCTCAACAGCTCCCAGATCTTATTCAGTCAGTAACCTCTCTCTCTCTTTCAATTTGTCTATGTATGTATTGGATTTTTGGAAATCTACACCTGTCAAGCTCTTCATTGAAAGGAAATGGTGAATTTAAGTTTTGGATTTTTAGAGATATGTTATATTATGGCCTATAGATTTTAGGTTTTGGATTCTGATTTGGTCTACATTCTAATTTCAATGTTTTGGACTTCTATTTGTGTTTCTTAATCAAACATTGAACCTAATTGCATTAACTTCTCCAGTTTTTTTTCAAAATTCTGCATACATACTAGTGAATATTTGTGAATGTGTGCCCTGTTCTGGTTCAAGATTGACAAGTTATGGACTTTTAAAGCATCTCCATCACCCACGGAAGCCCCATCAAGATTGAATGTGTGCCCTGTTTTGGCCTTTTCTTGATCATTTTTAGGTCAGGTTTATTTTTTCGGACATTTATGTTTTAATTGTGTTTGTTCTTTAGTTTTTATGCATCTTAAGTGCCAATATAAATTATGTAGTTTCAGATTATTTAATGCAGATGCATTTATTGTACCCCAATTATCCTTGCCGCCTTAGTTTCCTGTAGAAGATCTTTATCTACATTAGCCGGCCTAGCGATGAAAGAAATCTTTATTGTTTGACATATTTTTAAAGCCCTGATAAAATATTGCAACCCTACCAAGATGAAGGACTTTAATGGTTTAGTTTGTAATCAGCTGGAACAGGGTGTTGAAGATGAAAAATTCATAACTATATTGTGGTGTATTATGCTTGACCTTATGATTAGCTATCACGACCTTGTCATAAATTAATTTTCAAAATTGATTGCAGCATTAATTTTATTATTTTACAATAAATGAAACCAAAATTAGATTTTACTTAATAAAAAATTAAAAATAATTTGTCCACTTGTTCTATATTTTATTCATGGTCTTATTGCTATTATTTCTTTTCACATAGAATTTAAGTTTCATCTAGGTTATGTATAATTAATGCAATGTTCTATTTTTGAATATTTACTACAGCCTGAACAATTGAACAAGATATTTGAGCTGTGTGGATCTCCACATGAGATTATTTGGCCTGGGGTTTCCAAGATTCCTTGGTATAACAAGTTCAAGCCAACAAGGCCGATGACGAGGCGAGTGAGGGAGGTTTTTAGACAGTAAGTATACAAATTGAAGTTGTTAGTTAGACTTGGATTTTTTGGTGTCCATTTTAGTGCAAGAAGTTTGATATCCATAATTCTTATATTACTTTGCAGTTTTGACCGTCATGCACTGGATTTACTAGAGAAAATGCTAACCCTTGATCCATCTCAGGTACACATAAATCTCAGGCTTAGTGAACTTGTTATTATAGACTATCAGACACTTCATAGCCATAGCATTTTTATTTAGGTGTGCCAGTGAACACAATTATGCGATAATGTGATGTACCAAAATTTGTTAGTTTGTTTTAGGTCTAGCAACAGGGAGTGGAAGGATTTTAGTTTGTCTATAAATTTCAGACTAAAATTATTAGTTTATTGACAAACTAAATGATGATTTTTTTACTTCATTAGTTTGGAGAAACTGACACTACAATGTCAATAAAATGACTTACTTTATTAGTTTGGAAAATGACAATATAAATCTGAGTTTTGACTTATTGCAAAAAGGGTGCGGAGAAAATGCTAACCCTTTATTAGTTGTTATAGGTCTACCAAAATTCAATCTTTTAAAAATTAAAACCGAGATCCATTTTTTGACTTTGTGATTAAGTACATTAAATATATATTTCATTAGCTTAAAGGGAACATAATGATTTTGGATGCTTTTCATGCCCTAATTGTTTCTTCAGAAAATAAATAAAAAATTTACATGTATACAAATAAAATAAAAATTGAATTAAAAGTTTAGATCTTGTTGGGTAAGCTTAAGCAACCATGTATCCAAGGTATTGGGTATTTATAGTGCTCTATAAAATAGGATTTAAAACCTTAGTTGCAAGAAACTCCTAATTGCTACGACTGGCTAGAGAGTTCTTCTTGACAGAGAAGGGATTAGCTAGTTGCTTTGAAATTAAGGCATATCAAACAAAGTTGGGCTTTGGAAGGACCAGGAGGATGATTATTTTTTTGCGAGTATAATTTGGGGAAATGATACATTCCACTGCTTCATTGTAAAATCCTTGTGAGCTTATAATTTAATAATTGAGGTGGCTTGCATAATCTGAAAATAGTCTGATTCCAATATCCCATCAAAACACATTCATCCTAAATCATCTAATTAATGACACATTTTTATATACAGTTGAGGATCATGATGGTTTCATCTCTGTGTCTTCAGAGAATATCTGCAAAGGATGCCCTTGATGCTGAATATTTTTGGACTGACCCCTTACCTTGCGATCCTAGAAGGTATGTCTCACATCTTTCTTCTTAGCTATGCTGCATGAATTTTACTTATTGATTCATTGTACTGAGGAAAAGATTTGGTAATAATCATATACCTTCAACGAGACTTGGAAAATTCAGTCATAGTGTGCCAAACCTTCTGCATTTCATATGTTTACACCTCCAATTGAGGTTTCCTGAAGCCTCTCTATTAATATTTTGACTGATCTCCGCTTGTCAAATAAAGGTGTCTCAGTTTTGTTTATATTAAATTAATCTTTCCTGTTCTTTGATTGCATAGTTTGCCTAAATATGAATCATTGCACGAGTTCCAGACAAAGAAAAAAAGGCAACAGCAACGGCAAAACGAATAGATGGCAAAGAGACAGAAATTGCAGCACCCACAACCTGCTCGTCTGATTGCTTGCTTTTGCTTAATGATAAAGAAGGGAATGCTGGATTTGTAGTTTTTGAGTTTGTGGATTATGCTTTGCATCCTTGTCCAGCTGTGTGGCTCAGGAACACTAGTTTTCTTATGAGAGCAACATCTGGTGAATGAAAGTGGTTCAGATTTGGACACTAAGGATGTTGCAACCACTGTTTTCTTAGGTAGCTATCATTTTAATCTTTTGACAAATGACTTTACAGTGTAGGCCAATCTACAGAAGTTCACTTGGATTTGGGATAAGGTTAATTGAGATCTGGGGTGGAATCTCACCCACAACTTGATTATAAATGTTCTGAGTTTGTCTCATTGTGTTGATTTATGGATTGACAGAAAAAAAAATTTGTGGATAATTTGTTCTGTATACAAATTATATTTATTTAGATATTGTTTGGAATAAATCCCACACAAGCTATGGAACTGTCATCCCACCCTAGCTTGTAATTTGCTAATTCTTTATTTAAACACAACTGTCATGTTAGTAGCTAAAGATTAAAAAAAAAAATGGGAAAAAAAATTTTGGCTACTAAATATTTAGTAGCTAAAAATAAAAATAAAATGGAGAAAAACTTTTGGCTACTAAATATTTAGTAGCTGAAATAAAAAAAGACTTTAGGCGACTAAGAATTTAGTAGCTAAAAAAATAATAATAATAAAATAAGATGGAAAAAATACCCTTTGACGACTAAAGCTTTGGTTGCTGTAGATACTTCAAGTTTTGGCAACCAAAGTTTTAGTAGCGGAAAATAAAATTTTTCGCGACTAAAACATTATTTTTGGCGACTAAAAATATTAGTTGCCATTTATAGGACTTTTGGCGACTAAATTTTTTTTAGTCGCCAAAACCTTCCCCGACCGTTTTCCCAAGACAAATCTAGCGACCAAAATATTTAGTTGGGAAAAGGCTTCGGCGACTAAAAGCCTTATTTTTGGCGACTAAAACTTTAGTCGCCAAAAATGCATTTTCTTGTAATGTACGTCAGTGTGTGCAATTGTAGGTATGTTGGAATTTTTATGAAATGTTGATGATTTGCATGTTATTGGCGATGATTTGTTTGAGATGTACATGTTACTGAAAGTGCATGGTAATGAAGGTGCATTTGTCACAATCATGTATGTAGTGGGTCTTGTGTGGGTGGTAGTGTTAAAATCAAACAAAAATAATAAAAAATAACAACCAACAACAACACTACGATTCCATATCAGCCCCCTTACATCAAATGGCTAACCATCACTAATCCTACAAATCACCCCCACACAATCCTTCACAAAAATTTCAAAAATTAACACCATACCATAACCAACCCACCCAAATATTAGGAAAAAATCACAACCAAAATCACACTCAAAGGTAAACAAGTAAACTCCATAATATACCATAAATAAAAGGACTAATTGATTTGAAAGAAAACTTCCAAGACTAAGTGGGTGTTTGGGAAGTTGTTATTTTAGTAGGCTATTTTAGTTTTTAGCTATTTTAGTAAGCTAAAATTTTTATGTTTGAGATCTTTTGACAAATGATTTTACAGTGTAGGCCAATCTGCAGAAGTTCACTTGGATTTGGGATAAGGTTAATTGAGATCTGGGGTGGAATCTCACCCCCAACTTGATTATAAATGTTCTGAGTTTGTCTCATTGTGTTGATTTATGGATTGACAGAAAAAAAAAATTTGTGGATAATTTGTTCTGTATACAAATTATATTTATTTAGATATTGTTTGGAATAAATCCCATGCAAGCTATGGAACTGTCATCCCACCCTAGCTTGTAATTTGCTAATTCTTTATTTAAACACAACTGTCATGTTAGTAGCTAAAGATTAAAAAAAAAAATGGGAAAAAAAATTTTGGCTACTAAATATTTAGTAGCTAAAAATAAAAATAAAATGGAGAAAAACTTTTGGCTACTAAATATTTAGTAGCTGAAATAAAAAAAGACTTTAGGCGACTAAGAATTTAGTAGCTAAAAAAACAATAATAATAAAATAAGATGGAAAAAATACCCTTTGACGACTAAAGCTTTGGTTGCCGTAGATACTTCAAGTTTTGGCAACCAAAGTTTTAGTAGCGGAAAATAAAATTTTTCGCGACTAAAACATTATTTTTGGCAACTAAAAATATTAGTTGCCATTTATAGGATTTTTGGCGACTAAATTTTTTTTGTCGCCAAAACCTTCCCCGACCGTTTTCCCGAGACAAATCTAGCGACCAAAATATTTAGTTGGGAAAAGGCTTCGGCGACTAAAAGCCTTATTTTTGGCGACTAAAACTTTAGTCGCCAAAAATGCATTTTCTTGTAATGTACGTCAGTGTGTGCAATTGTAGGTATGTTGGAATTTTTATGAAATGTTGATGATTTGCATGTTATTGGCGATGATTTGTTTGAGATGTACATGTTACTGAAAGTGCATGGTAATGAAGGTGCATGGTAATGAAGGTGCATTTGTCACAATCATGTATGTAGTGGGTCTTGTGTGGGTGGTAGTGTTAAAATCAAACAAAAATAATAAAAAATAACAACCAACAACAACACTACGATTCCATATCAGCCCCCTTACATCAAATGGCTAACCATCACTAATCCTACAAATCACCCCCACACAATCCTTCACAAAAATTTCAAAAATTAACACCATACCATAACCAACCCACCCAAATATTAGGAAAAAATCACAACCAAAATCACACTCAAAGGTAAACAAGTAAACTCCATAATATACCATAAATAAAAGGACTAATTGATTTGAAAGAAAACTTCCAAGACTAAGTGGGTGTTTGGGAAGTTGTTATTTTAGTAGGCTATTTTAGTTTTTAGCTATTTTAGTAAGCTAAAATTTTTATGTTTGAGAAGATAGATTTTTTTGTAGTTGGATGCGTTATTTGTGAGAGAAAAAGTAAAATGATTATGGATTTGATGTAACATTTTGTCTTATTGGCTATTTTAGCCTATTATGTCATTTGGTGAATTTTAGCCCAAAAAACCAAAAAAAGCCTTTGCCAAACACCCCCTAGATGGAGCAACATTTTCCCAAATGGGATTTTCGGGTAATTTTCCCATTTTGTTGGGTTTTTGATATGCTAAGATGTTATATTAGACTTTTCATTTAAAGGTTTTCAACATTTTAAATTAGATATAGCATTATGAATCAATAATTTTATGCCATGTGTATTTCTTAATTTTTAAAAATTAAAAAATTGAGAAATTTTAGTTAATACTTTGAAGCTCCTACAGTTTTTTAAACAAAAAATTACTTTGCTATAATATAGATAAATTAGGACATTCCTAAGATACTATAATTAGTTCTCTTGTAGCGTCACATAAATAGTCAACATTATGCTTTATTTATATGATACAATTTCTCTGTCCCTAGCTAAACCCTTTTAACTAAATATTAAATTAAGAGAACATATATATCGTATCAATAAAACTACTCACATCTCAGTTTGAAAAATTGTGTGAAACAACATATTCATTTTAAATGTAGCTCACATACTGACCAACACACAGGTAAGCGGCGGTGTATTGCTAGATCTTAGTTTCAAACATGGTGGCAATAGAAAGAGTGGATATTGCTACAATTGAAGTAGCAACTTAAATTGGAGTCCCAAGTTTTAAGAATGTTCTTGTTCATCCCAAACACAGATCATCACGCCATATTCCACTATTTATCTCATACTAATCTCATATTACCACGTCGTCAAAAATGATAGTACAGAGATACCATGCAACATACTAACAAAAAGCACATGTCCTAGTAGGTTCTGGCGTTTTATGTTACTCCTCAAATTTCAATAAAAAAAAAAAAATTAGTTTAGCTTTGATAGATCAGTCAAATTTGTATATGCCAATGCTTAGTCTGCAAACTGAAAGCCAAACTCTACTACATGGTGGGAGTATCATCTCGTAGCCTAACCTAAAGCACACTAATCTTACAAGCATCCATGCTAAAGTCAGACTGTTCTGAAATGATTCACCAGTTTGGTTGGGAAGTGAAAAGAAGAACACAACCACAACAGAAGAACCAAAAAGGTCAAATTTCCCATAATCCTCTGCCTTTTCTCCTTCCTTCTCAATTCAATTCAGTTTGGCATGTGTGAAAGAAATTGATGGGTATTACCCAATCAAGAAACTCAAACCAACCAGAGAGGGCACCCTGCTCGGGACAAGTTGAGATAAACTCCCAACCTGAAGAATGTTTATTCGTTGTGGTATAGGACAGTCAATCAAAGACTCAGAATGGAGACATAACCTCACGTGCCTAAAATCAAGTCTAAAATCTTCCCAATCAGGCATAATTGAACAACCTAAACCACGATTTGATTGGATTGACGGCAATGCTAGAATTAAGAGATTGTTATCACAAATAAATCACGTCTATTCCTATGTAAAGAAGAACAAATTAAAAAGATCCATAAACAATGTGTCAAGGACGAGCTCATTCAACAACAAAGGAACACATGATATCGTCTTATAAATAAGAGGCAAAGAGTGATCATGAAACCCTATGACACATGCGTGCACTATAAATAGGATCAGACTTGCTAGATAATTTATTGTCAAGCACTCTCTTTTTATTACCCTCACCTAGTTTTAGTGATTTAAGAATCAAAGATGCTTTGGCCAGTATCGTATCAATGTCATGTTTCCCCATTTTTATCATTTTTATGGATCATCAATCTTGTTCCCTATCAAACTGGATTTCTGATTAATCAGAGCTTCCTATGCAGGCTGTGTAATTCCATTTTTATGATCAAAATTTATCATACAAGATTGTGGTAAGACTCCAATCACTCACTCACTCACTCCATCAGCAAATAAAATAATAATAAAAATAAAATTGAGCAAATAAAATCAAGTTTTAATTAACATTCTAAAGATTGCCATCTCAAATCAAGTGCATCAACAACTCCAACAAAACTATCAAACCTAGAACTCACGACATCCACGCCGACGCCCAACCTCTCGGCTCCAGCAGCAGTGACAGGGCCGTGCGCCGCCACCACCAGTTCAGGAAATCTCTTCTTCACCATCCCCCAATCCAAACCATACTCCATCCTCAAGCTCTTCAACAGCCCCTCCACCTCTCCCGTACTCGTAAACACAACAGCATCCAAACCCTCCCCCTCTTGGCTCCTCCTCACCACCGCCTCCGCGCACTTGGGCCCCGCCCACCGCGTCTCGTACGCATTCACCCTCACCGGAACCCAACCCTTGGAAACCAGCTCGCGCAAGAAATTTGGAACTACAGGCGGTTCTTCGAGCCCCACCACCGCTGGAACCGGACACAGAACTCTCCGTCCGGATCCCAACCCTAGCGACTCGACCAGGCCAGTAGGCGTCGAAATAGGAGGAACCAAAATCTTGATTCGCCGAGGATTTTGGCAGAGTCTGTGAACAAAAGCAGAGTCCAGGAGCTCGGAGTCCTTGCCGAGAGCAGAGATGGTGAATATGTGGCCGGAGGGGGACAGTGGGGGTTGATGGAGATCGGCTAGGGCTTCGGAGAAGGATGAAATTCCGGTTCTGGAAGTGAATGCAATGGCTGAGAAGTGTTCGAGAGGGGGTTTTGTGGGGTTAGGGTTAGGGATTGGGGAAGAGAGGAGGTGAAGGTGGAGGGAGGAGTTGGTTTGAGGAGTGGTTTCGACGATGACGGAGGGGGACCAGAGTGGGAACCAGCCCTTGAGGCGGAGGAGGTGGGAGAGCCTGGCGGCGTAATTTTGAGGGGTTGTGAAAGCAATCACGCGGCGGCGGCTACCATCATTGGTACTGAGAAACGGGGCAGGAAGAGGAGCTGTTGGATGCTGCTGCTGCATATTCTGCATGGCCATCGTTGTAATGGTTTTCATTGCCACCATCATTCAGATTTGATTAGAGAGAGAGAGAGAGAGAGAGAGAGATATGTACATGTCGAGGGTCTTATATAGAATAGAATAATGGAATATAACTTTGATTATGTGTGATAAGCCCACGTCTCAGTCAAAGAATATTGTAATGCAAAAGAAGAGAAAAGAAAGAATAATTTTTTTTTTCTTTCAATAATTCAGTTTACATGTATAAAAATAATTGAAATTTTCTTGCATAATTTTGTACTTTCTCCAAGAAATGATTTGACCAAAAAATGTTTTTTTCCCTCTATTTAGTTTGCGAATTTGAGAAGGAAAATAAAAAAAAGAAAGGAAAATGGAAAGGAAAGAAAAAAAAAATTAATCACCTTATTTGGTTTCATAACTCAAAATTTATTTTTTTTAAAAATTAAATATTTTTATTTTCCTTATTTTTTGTTTTTACTTAATTTTTTTAATATTTTAAATAATTTTTTTTAAATTTTTTTTAGATACACAACATAAATACACTTAAAAAGTATAATGTTTATGAAAAAAATATTTTAAAAAATCACTAAATTCCAAAAATATATATTAAAAAAATAAAAATTCAGTATATTTTTCATATTCTTGTGTATTTATTAATTTTTAAAATATTTTTTTACAAATATTTTATTTTTTAGATACATCTAAGTAAAGTGTATCTAAAAAAATAAAAAAATTATTTAAAATTTAAAAATATTCACTAAAAATTAAAAAATATATATATACAAAAATAAAAAATTAGATTCAAAAAATTAAAAGTAAACACAGTGAATAAGATTTCAAATCCCAAACATGTTTAATTGAGTTGAAAATTAAAGAAGGTAAAGAAATTATTTCCCAAGAATCTCTCTCATTGCCCGTCATCACACGCCTCAGTCATCTCCATCACCAAGGTCTCTGCTTCACTTCGTAATTATATTAAAGAAAATGTTTGAGTGTCATAATTTTTGTAACCACAATGGCTCAAAACTATCAAAACGACGTCGTTTTGAGTGCAAAACATGCCAAAACGACGTCGTTTTGACAGTTTTGAGCCATTGTGACTACAAAAATTGTGACCCTTTAACATTGTTGTTATATTAAATATGTTTAATATAATCTGACTATCTGATAGATTTATTTATTTTTTTTTAAAAAGGAAGTAGTTTTTTTTCTCCTTTAATTAAAAAAGAATAAAGAATTGTAATAGTGAATTGTAATGACAAAAAATAAGGGTGTACATGATTAAAGTGCTATAGTTTTGATGATACAGTTTGCCCCGGTGGATGGATTGAACTGGTCCAAGCTCCTCAAGCCCAAGTCCAAATGATCAAGCCCACCAGATAACCTGCAAGCAAGTTCAATGGGGGAACGGGGTAGTCCCCTAGTGAACCCTCCGACGAGCAAGTTAGGAAGAGAGGTAGAGTATAGAGGGAGAGATTAGAGATAGAAAAACTTAACCTTCTTCTTGTTTTCAACGTTTGCTTATATCCTTTGGTAATCATTTCGCTGTCCCTTCCGACCTGCCCTCCTCACCGAAAGCCTATGCTGTAGCTTACCTTGTTCAGGGTAAGGGGGTCCTGTTCCGACGGGGAGGCGTTGTCGTAATAAATGCTGTGATAGGCTGCATTAATGGTGATGTGCAGTGGCAATAATTTTGTAGATCTTTGTCTGCTGATGTGGCTCGTCCTTCTCTTGCCGCGTGTCTGAATGTCATTGGCTCTTTATGCCATGTTAGACTCCAGCTGTCCTGGACCTCACCAGCTGGGTTATGCATTGGGCACCAAGTGATGGGCTTGGATTGTCCATAGGTGATTCGTGGCCTTCATGGGCTTATACACGTCAGTAGTCCCCCATTCCCAAGTGCAGCTTTAGTCCAACGAAAGGAATATTAATGACGTAGATGAGTGTATTAGGGATTGGCAGGATGAAGGTCGACCGGCAGGGGTGATCGAGGGAGTGAACCGAGCGGAAGGTGGTCCGGCTGTGCAGGGTGACCGAGTGGAAGGGCCGATCACGGAGAGGACCGACTGCAAGGTCGGCCGAGTGGGATGGTCGACACCAAGGAGAGCCGACCGCGAAGGGGGGACCGACCGCGGTGGTTGGCCGAGCGAGAGGGCCGACCGCGGTGTTGGCCGAGTGGGATGGTCGACACCAAGGAGGGCCGACCGCGGTGGTTGGCCGAGCGGGAGGGTCGACCGCGGTGTTGGCCGAGTGGGAAGGTCGACAACAGGGAGGGCCGACCGCGAAGGATGAGGTGGAGGGTCGTGGGGCTCGAGACGCAGCGTGTCACGTGGTGATTTGAAGTGGAAAAGACAGGGTAAGGGGAGGAGACAGTGGATCGTTGTCGTACACGTGGCAACATCCCGTAGGGGGGAAGATTAGGCGTTGGATCAGAAATGAAACGTTAAGTCATTATGGGTGTTAAAGAGATAGTTTTGGCGGATGATTTTGAAAAGTTTTCAAACTGGCGAAAATTAATTGGGATCCTTGGAATACGGGCAAACCGTGGGCTTTTGGCATTATTCGATTCACCTACTTGTTTACGAAAAATCAAAATATTCCAAGTGTGAATTCTTGTGTTGCTCACAATACACCTCTGCAACACTTTTTCAATTTCCTTGCACCAGCGTCCGAAGCGATTCGCAAACATACCACAGAAATGGCCCAAGAAGGAACTGCGATTGTCAGGGTGGACCCACTTGGAGATGATGATGCGGTGGAGTTAGCGTAGCAATACAGGATGGAGAGGGTGGGGGAGTCGATTGTACGATCCCACGGTTCCACCATAATAGCAACTCCAAGGCCAATCAACCAGGTAGAACCTGATCACTGGCACACAAAGGCAGACAAATCAACGGTCACTGCAGCGGATTTGGAGGATATTCACGAAAAATACCAGGTACCTGCCGAAATAGAGTTGTCGTTGCCAACGTCGAAGGAGAGACCATCCGATGCCAAGCTAGGGCAGTTTGCCCTTTATGAGGAGGAATTGAAAGGAAGACTGAGGCTGCCCCTGCCGCAGGTGGTAGTAGATGTCTTAAATCGCTTGGAGGTGGCGCCGGGCCAACTAATGCCCAATGCGTGAAAGATCTTGCTGTCCTGTGCAAGTGCCTGGCCGAAGGCGAACGAAGGGGCGGCCATGACAGTGGACGAATTCTTTGCGTGCTACAAGGCCTCGGGGCAGCAAGAGACTTGGGTCACTCTGCAGGCGGCAGCAGGGAAAAGGCTGGTGGCGGGTCTGCCGTCGTCGATCAAGGGGTGGAGACCACGGTGGTTCTATGTGTCTGCCAGTGGTGGAGTTGGAGTGCGGACCATTTGGAAGGTGCCCACCAAGTCGATGGAGCCAAAGTTAGGGGCAGCAACAGAGGAGAGGGTGAAGAGGGTAAAGGAGTGGAGGGAGAAAGAAAGGGCCAAATAGGACGAGCTCGTTCAGCCGTCTGCATTGTTTGAGGCAGGGCTGGGTCCACAGCCGAGGGGTGGGGACCTCGACCAAGCGGAGTTAGAGGCGAGGAGGAAGGCGCAAGAGGCGGAGGATCGGACCATCCTTGCGAAACCCCAAAAATTCAAAGAGTCCCAGGCCAACCGACCACCAAAACCGGTTGCAAGGGAGAGAATTCGACCTCGTCCCAAACCCTTGGAAGAGAAAGATTTAGGCGAATTTGTGCCGCGACCACCCCCAATAGACCCTTTGAAGGAGAGGTCTTTGAAGGAGATGGAGGCATTGGGTGTGGTGAAGAAGAAAAAGAGGGTGAGGCGGAGTGAAGAAGAGCCTGCCCAGAAGAGGAGGAGGGAGACGAGGGTAAAGGAGGCCAGCGTGGCGAAGGAGGCAGATGGGGGGAAGTGGAGGGGACTCCAGGAAGAGTGATTGCCTCAGAAGTGGTGGACATCGCCTCAGAGGGCATGAAGGTTGTACCAGTAGTGGCGGCGATCGCCGCAGGGGTTGCAAGGGCCGCCCTTAAAGGGCAAGTGGAAGATGAGACAACTGGCCCTGGGCCAAGGAGGGAAGAACAGCCCCAGGGGGGTCCTGCGCCTCAAGGAGAGGGGGTCAGTCTGACCACAGCGATCTACCTGCTCGTGTGGTGGCGGGGCGGCTAGAGGGAGAAGAAGGCCCAGCCAGGGTAGGGGCAGACCGCCTGGTAGGGATTGTAGAAGAGGCAGCCTTGCGCTCGGCATCCAGATTCAACGAGATTGAACTGCTAAGGGGGTTATACTCTGCTCAAAAGGAGGTAACCACCTTAGCAGGGGCGTTGCTGAGGAAGGCGGGGGCTGCCAAACTCAAGTCAGACGAGGCCAAGGCTCAGCTTGCAAAGTTGAAAAAGAAGAGTGAAAGTTGGGAGAGTGCCCACGCTGATCTGCAAGCGGTTAGGGTGGAACTGGAGGACACACGCCGCCAGGTTGTGTCGCTCGAGTACTAGCTGGCGAGCAGAAGAAGTTGGATGAGGCCCAAAAAGCTTGCGCAGTCGCGGTTGAACGCCATGAAAAGGCAATGAGCAGTAATGAAGAGCTCGTCAGGTAGAAAGATGAGGCAGATGTGAAGATTGGCGATCTGCAGAGGGAGCTAGAAGGCGAGCAGGCTAAGGTAGTGGAGGAGAGGAGGAGCCTTCAGAAAGAGTTAGAAGCAGAGAGAGCCAAGGCGACGGCGGAAAAGGAGAGCCTGAAAAAGAAGTTAGAGGAGGAGAGGGCTAGGGCTGCGTCTGAAAGGGCGACCCTGCAAAAGGAGCTGGACGAAGAGAGGGCGGCCTACCCTGATCTGTGCGTCGCCGCGGTGGAGCAATTCAAAGGGTCTGCTGAATTTCAGATGGCAGTTGATGCCGCGGTCGCTAGCGACTTGGCTAGGCAAGAATCTGGGGGAGTGGGCCTATCGAGGACAACCGCTGGAGGCAGAACCGAAGCAGAAGTTATTGAAAGCTTCTAGCAATCAAATTTCTATAAACACGAAATAGCTGAGTTCTGGGACAAGGGCTGAAAGATGTTCAAAC